TTTATTTTATCCTCTCCTGTTTGTAAGGGTTTTGCTATGTTTGGAAGTCTATTCATGCCACAGAGCACGGCTTCTAAAGTTTTACCTAGTTTTTATCTGATGAACTTTATAGGAATGGAAAGAAGCTCTGAATAAGCGAAGCACTACTGAAAAAGAAAAACACACTTCCTGATCTCAAATCTTAATACACAGCTATGGCCCTGGAAAGATCTGTTGATCATAGGTAGATGAGTTGATTCCTGGGTTCTCTATTCTCTTCCATTGATCTATGTGCCGGCTGCTGTACCAGTACAGTGCTATCTTGATTGACAAGGAGACAAACTTAGTTAAGTGGGGAAATGACAGCCTCTTTAATGAATGGTGCTGCAAAACTTCAGCTTGAACTTGCATATGAGAAGTTAGTGGTCTGTTCCACAATCATCACCTGGCCTAGTTTTCACAGCTGATATTGAGCTTTCCATGTGATTCTTTCCACAAATGTCATCATTCTGATTCCCATGCATACCGTCAGGTGAAATCTATGTGGCAAAACTGGAAAACTATCCTCAGAAACTGAAGCAAGACCCACATGTCACATACACAAAAAACAATTCAAAGTGGATCTGGAATCTAGGACTAAAATGAAAGATATTCTTTTAATGAAGAGAAAGTCAGAAATTAATTTCTCTCACAGGTAATTCATTGCTATAGATGCCTTCAAATCAGTAGGTATTGGTGATCTCCCCCACGCCGCCTTTTTTGCCTCTTCCTCAGAATAGAGCAAGGAAACACTGTATGATTCAAAATCAGGAAAAGAGTGTGCCAGGGATGCATCCTGTACCCATACCTTTTTGATCTGTATGCAGAACAGATCATTCAAATCAGGGCTTTATGAGGAGAAATGTGGCATCAAGATTGGATGAAGACTTGTCAACAATTTATGACATGCAGATGACACAACCTTGCTTACTGAAATTGACGAAGACCTGAAGCACTTGCTGCAAAAGGGCAAGGACTATAGTCTTCAATGTGGACTGAAGCTCAACATTAAGAAGACAAAGATTCTCACCACTGGGCCAATTGTCAGCAACATAATGGAGAAGAGATTGAAGAAATAAAAAGATAATTTGCATTGGGAAAATCTGCTGTCATGGACCTCTCCAGAGTGCTGAAGAGCAATAATGTCAGTCTAGATACAAAGGTGCATCTAATCCAGGCCATGGTCTTCTCAATGACTTGTTATGCTTCAGAGAGCTGCATAATGACTAAGATGACAGAATAATAGATGTCTTTTAGTTGTGGTGCTAGAGAAGAGTCTTGAACATAACAGTACTGTCAAGAAAATAAACTGGTCTGTCCTGGAGTGGGTTAAACCAAGTCTCTCCTTGGAGGCTAGGATTTTGAAGTTCCATCTCACTTTGGGCATGCGGCCAGGAGAGATTGCTCTTTGGAGAAGGACATCATGCGTGGAAGGGTGGATGGACAACGCAGGAGAGGAAGACCCCAGATTAGGTGGATTGATACAGTAACTTGGGCAATGAAGGTTGGTGTCAGAATAAGTGAGACTGGCTCAGGACAGGGAAGGGCTCAGAGCAACTGTATATAGCGTCGCTACATATCGCAAGCAACTTAACAGCACATAACAGCAATAACATACTATGATAGGTTTGTTAGCAGGTGCGTCATCCACTTCCTATACAACCTCTGGAAACTCTGTGAACTTTGATAAATGTTGATAGTTGTAGAAGGGCTTCAGGTCTTTTGTTCATAGGGTCACTATGAGTCATGCTCCACTCGAAGGCAATCAACAACAACCCATTCTCTGTTGAATTACCTTCTGGCCTTTTAAGGAAGGTTGAGTCTAATAACTTTTAATTATAAAATAGAATCCATTTTTTTGCCCAACAAGTGAATATTTTGTTTGTAGGTGCCATCAAGTGGACTAACCGTTTATGGCGACCATATTACAAGAGGTCTGAACTAGGCTCTATCCTGCACCATCTTCCCTTCTCTGATATGCTGGAAGCCATTGTTATTATGCCTGTTTCAAATCCATCTTGTTAGGGCCTTCCACTTTCTCCGACCAGCCACTTTTCCTAGAATGACATCTTTTCCCAGTGATTGGTCCCTCCTTCAATAAGACCACAGTATGTGAGATGACAGTTCACCATCATTGCCTCTAAGGTGCACCCTGGTTGCATTTCCTCCAAGGCAGTCTTGTTCTTCTTCAACACCACAGTCCTTATTCATTGCTCAACTTCCAGACACACAGGAAGCAACTGGAAAAAAAAACCCAAACAACCAAAAAACCAACAAAACATAGCTTGGATCAGGATTGGGTGAATTCTATATGTGAATTGCCAGCAGAAAAATTTCAGGAACAACGTTCCTCTATCTTCTATTTAGAGAGATCCATTTTAAAAGACTGTATGTCTCCGGTTTCCTGAATGTTTTTATTGGCATCCACTTCCTAAACAACATGCCTCTGGAAACTCTATGAATTTTGATAAATGACGATAATTATAGCAAGGCTTCAGGTCTTTTGTTCCTATGGCAATCAACAATTATCAGCATACTTTTTTTGTTCAACATAAAGAAATACGACTTTTTACCATACTTAGATGACAAGAATTGCAATTGCTTGCGTGTCACTATCCATTTAAAAAAAAAAAAAAACACTAGGCAAGGCAAGGAAGGGGCCAAATTAAGTAGCAACACCAAAATTACCAAACAAAAGGCTTTACCATAGCCGGAGAGAACCTTTCCTAATGTTTTCCAGTAGGGGGAACTAAAGACTCACCATTTAGCTTTGTGTAAGGACCTGCATGAGTTCATAAAACCCGCCTTCTAATCACCAGAGCAGGCATCAAACAGCTACCAGTGAGCCTGTGATCACACGTGGACCCGGCCTCACCAGTGACACCGCAAACATCCGCATCCTTTTGATCCAACCTGGCCTTCCTTAATCATCTCTGGTCCTGAATGGCATTCCCTGGGATTGTTTTGCCTTCATTCTTGGGACAGTGAGGTTTTGTCGGTTTGGGACTGGAATTTCGACTGTCTTGAGCTTCTGTTAGCTCAGTTGTGTTTCAAGCTTTCCTTGGGGCTTATGTTTTTTCAGAATATCCTTCCCAAGTTTCAGTCTCTCGAGGGTCTAGGCTTCGAGTATCCCCCAAATTCTCTCGCTAGGTCCCCACCCAAAGCATCATCTACTCAACTCCCTTACAACCCAGGATTCCTTGTCAAACTCCTCTTTAAGGGGTCATAAGGCAACAGAGCAAGCAAGCTAAGGGGGAATTTCACCCCTTCCCCTCTCACCTCCCCTCGGAGATTCCGCAGGGGGCTATAGATCTTGTCTAAAACGAGCCGGCAGAGGGTATAGATTTCCGTGGAGCCCCCCCTCCCCCCTTTTAGTGTGCCTTTTTAACGACAGAGGAAACACCCACACACCACCTTTCCGCTCCAAAGGTGGCTATATTTTGTTTCCTTTCCTTTTCTCTCTCCCGCTCAGCTTCTCAATTTGCTAAAAGGTGAAGAGTGAGTGTTTGTGTGATTTTAACGGGTAATGAGGCTGCGCCCTGGGTCCCAGAGAATGATCTTTTTTTCAGAAAGCGCGTGCATCTCCGGCAGACGGAGGGATGAATAATTAGGAAGGGCTTCCATGAAATCACTCACCGAGAAAATTACCTGCCCATTAAACGGGACGCGGCGAGGAGCAGGGGGCCGGAGTCCACCTATCTCCACCCGAGGCAGGAAGGGGGGTGAGGAGGGCTTTGGAAAAGGGCAGGAAGAGTTGGCCGACCGCTGCGGCTCTTTGCAGCCTGCGAGGGCCCCCGAATTTGTTCATTTCCGTCCCCTTCGGACTCTCGGAGCCCCCTCCTTGGGCCCAGCGGGGTGGCGCGCCCCGCGCGGCCGGGTGGCGGAGTCCGGAGGTGGAGGGCTCGGCGCACCCCCACATCCCCCTCCGCCCCCCTCTCCGGGGCAGACTCCCAGCAGCTTTCATTCCTCCCCTCCCCTCCCGCCTCCTCGCCTTCCCTCCTCTAAGTCCTTCCACCAGCGGCAGCTGCCGGAGGAGGCGGACGCTGTGCTGAGCGGCCGCCAGAGCAGCAGCAGCGGCGGCGGCTGGACCGCGAGCGGAGCGCACGCTCCTGCCTCTCGCGCCCAGGCGCCCGGCTCGCACGCCGGCTCTGCTCGCTCGGATCCGCCGCGGGCCCGGCTCTCCAGGCGGCTCGGCGGGGGCGGCCGCGCCTCAGCCCGGCCCCTCACTCGATCCCTCCTTCCCTCCTCCTTCCTTCAGCCCCACCTCGGAGGAGTTCGGATTCTCCACCCAAGTCGCCCTGATTTTCCTTTTCCTCTGTTTGGGAAACGCGAGAGGTGGAGGGAGGCAAAAAGGCTGGAGAGGAGAGGCCCGCCAAGTGTGCCCACTTGCAAAGTGTTGCTTTGACGCCTCCTTATTATGGAAGTTAAGTGAAAAAAACAAAACAAAACCCAAAAACCAACAAACCAAAAAAAAACCCCAAACAAACCCAACCAACTCCGGACTTGGAGCCACTACGGAGAAGGCGAGCTGGGGGAAAGAAAGCAGTAGGCAGGCCAATGGTTTTTCGGTGGCGCACTGGCAAGTTTGTGGAACACTTTCTAGGAATTAGATCATTTTCCTCCCCTCTTCATCTTTTTGACTTCTGAAGAAAGAACTTGGCTTTGGATTGCAATGGAACCCGAGAGAGGGTTAGACACACTTGAATAATCCCTCCGGCTGGGCTGAATTTGTGGGGATTTCGGAAGCCAGAATGTGGAAATACAGCAGCGTTTGGAGTGCCCTCTGCTAATGTGGATGGATTTAAAGTGTGTCCCATTCAAGACCTTACCTTTTGCTCTTGTGATTTGCTCTCCTTGACTTTAATTAGCATCTAGGAAAGTCGAAACTTTGGACCTACCTCTTTTTTTTAATACTTATTTTTGTACTTCTGCTCTCTGGGATTGGTTTCTTAAACAATCTGGATCCTTTTTAATATGTCAAAATGAGTCTGCTGATGTTTACACAACTACTGTTCTATGGATTTTTATATATTCGGGTTGATGGTAAGTTAAAAAGGCTTTTATCCATTTTTCCTCCCCTCCCTCCCCCCACCCCAGACTTTTAAGTTGGATGTGAATTATAAATAAAATGACAGGGATGTCTGTAAGTCAGCTTTGGCTAGGCATGGTGGCTCTTTGGGGGCAGAGATTTTAGTCTTTTGTTTTCGTAACTGCTGCAAGTAGAACATGTTAGTAGTCACCTTTTGTTACTGTTGCTGTTGTTATAATTCACTCGGTTAATTGGCAACTTGGGTTATAAATGATGAGCTTCCAGTTTTGTTCGAAAAAGAGATGATAACGTCTGTCTCTTACAAGGGTCTAAGACTGTCGTAACTGCTGTCTTTTCTTGGTGTTTGTTCGTGTGCCTGAACTTTGGCTTAGAAATTCGAGTGAAGACAGAGTCCTAGATGCTCCAGCCCAGCTACAATGTATGAAGGACTTGAGACAGGGCAGCTCAGGGATCAATGTGCGTCACCTGTATGCTGGCGAATACTCGCCTAGTGCGGTATCAGAATGGAGAATTTTGAGCTCACAGAAGGAAAAAGAAAGGAAAAAAACCAAACCCCAACATCCCAAACCCAACAAACAAAAACTCAACTGTCAAAAGTAACCTTGGCTGGGGCTCCCGGAAGGGGAGGCAGGGCAGGCAGCATCAGCTCTGGGCAGTTCAGTGGAGGACGCTCAGCCCAGTCCCGAGTGGGCAGACACAATGGGGATCTGAAACAGGTGCCCGAGGTGCCTCCCTCTAGGTTGAGGCAGTCTGTCAACCAGACAGCAGTTCTGCCTATGATTCCCCTTGTCTTTTGTTCAGATTTGCTTTCCTGGGATATTTTCATATGATGCCACCTTCCTGTAAGGCTATGGCAAAATCTTTCTTCCCCCTGGTAGCTCTTGTACATGAAGAGTGAACATGATCAGTAACATTTATTTATTTAACCTCCTTGTTTTCAAAAGAAGAAAGCAGAAGGAGGAATTGGTCTTCAGCTTTCAGAGACTTTAGTTTTAATATCAGTGAAGAAGCAATGGTATAAGGTAGAGGACATGCACACCTCTCTTTCAAGTGACACAAATGGAGTATAGAACTTCAGATTTTTAATGACTCTATTTGTAAAGGATATGAGATGTGTTAATCCACATATTTGAACCATCAATGTAGCTTGTTGCTTAATAAACTTTCCTCCAGCATTTGCATTGTGGACGAATTAATTATTTGAGACACTTTGTCCCTGGCAGCTGGGACTTCTCAGAATCCAATGTATCAGGCTCAGAAAGGAAGCCTTTCTGTAAACATGAGGCAATACAGATGAGTTTACCCACTGTCAAGTGGCTGTTTCCAAGCGTGGACTACCTGAGTACTTTTGCCCCCCCAGCGATAATAGACACGGCATGCCAGCATGCCCACAGCTCCTCTCTTTTCACTCTCTGAGTTGATGTTTAGGAATTAATAATTGTTATTCTGTGGCATGATCTATTGTCATCTCTCCATACATTTTCTTCTTAAATGCATTTACCCTGTTGAAAATAACAGAAAGGTTGATATGTTTGTACTAAGTGTATGGTTGTCATGATTAAGTCTTAGCTATAACTTTTTAAAGGTATCTCAACAAACACTATATTTCAATACCAGAAATGCATACATAAACTGTACATATTAAACTACAAGATTAGCACCAACTTTATTATTTTATTTAAAAAAAGATCTGTGTGGAACTAGGGGGAATACAATTAAATTGCTCAGTGGAAGTGACAAAGAGAATCAGAAGAGCTTGCTGTTACTGACTGTAGTTAATGTACGAGGGTGTTTAGTGATACATATATGAAGCGAATGCCATTAACCAGTTTTGCAAGACATGGTCTCCCTCCTCCTTCCCACCCTCCCTTGTCTACATTCCTCTTTCCTTTTCTCTCCTCCTACTTTCCCTCCCTCCCTTCTTTCCTGCAGCCACCCCTTCTATCCCAGAGGCATACCTAAGAATCTTTGTTCTGATTTCATGTTGTAGGATAAAAGGGGTGAGGGTTGTGGCTGGGCCACAGTTATGCAGCAGGAATCATAATAATGTCGGGGAAAAATGCTTTGAGTTGAGGAGATGAAAAGAGAATTTTGGCTTTTTGTTTTGTTTTGTAGTGTTATGTGTGTGTGCACATTCACGTGTGCTAGAAGTATGAAACTGTGGATCTTCAGGCTAAATTAGCATGCAAAGCATATATTTGACATTGACTTGCCTTTGGTTTACTTCATGGTAACAGCTACTCCATGGGATTGTTGAAAATTTAGGTTGTAGGCAACACTGCCCTCTAGGCTGTTTCAACACATTGGGACTAAGTTTCCACATGCATGAATGAGTGGGATGGTTTCAAGGATCACTTAAGCTTCCCTATTCTTGCAATATCCTATGATTTCTGTTTGCTTATTATCCTTCTTAGAAGAGTGTGTTTATTTTCCCTATGAATTTCAAATACAGAGATGCTTGTACCATTCCAAAGATATACTGACCATCCTAGTGCTAGACACAGAAATTAATTTTATTCAGTGACAAATGATACATAGATTTGCATTGAAATTCACTTGGTGGGTTATTTATATGTGCATTTTTATAGACCACAGAAATATTAAGAATTTTACTTCTTAGAAGACATGTGCTAATTTATGAATTTTCAGTATCCTATCTCCATGTAAGAAGGCATATAGAATAAATATTAAGTTACTTGAGAAGTACACACAAACTTGTCTTTGCAATGGAAGTTGTTCTGTTTTGTTTTGTTTTGTTTTTTGGTTGGTTTTTTTTTTTTTCCCCATGAGACTCAGGTTATTTAACCAACTGCAGATTATTTTGGGGTCTGTTTTCTACACAGGAAAATATGTTTTGAATTAGATTTCACTCTCCAGATTTCCTTTCCTCCTTCTTCTTTTTTTTTTTTTTTTAATAAGAATGAAGTGTTTCAATCATTTTCTGGGGACTAATAGGGGCCAACTCAGTGTATTTAATTACATCAAAATTTAAGTTATATCCTACATATTATGTCAGCCCATTTGCTTTGAGAAGATGTTTCAGCTATTCTTATGTGACACATACACTATTTGGGGAGGTAAAGATAATGTCTATGCATATCTCTTATATAGGTTTATACATTTTTCTAAAGTGCTTTTTTCAGTAATGGGCTCATTATCATAGCAATAGACAGCCCATAACAGAACTTAGACTGCATATAAGTAACCTGTAATTTGTTCTTGCGAGTATGCTGTAATCACACATTTGAATTGGCTTTGTTTGAATAACCTTTGGTTCTATGGAACATGTGGACCATAAACCAAAAGAATTTCATAGAACATTAAATAATAGTATCTATCTTTAAAATAAAAAAGCCATGATCCTGCAAATACAGCAGTTCTAGAAATCTCAAACTTCGACAGCTTTTATAAAGTGGCATCTTTGGCAATGAAAATATAGTAACTTAAACACACTTGATAAATTTAAATATATAAAGTGAACTGATATCTCCCACATTTAAGGCAAGAAGTCTACCAGTGACCTACTGCTGTCTCCACATTTGTACTTCAGAATATCTCATTTAGTCTCATGATTTTAAGTACATCCTTATCTTCTTGTTAATCAGGTACCATCAAGTCAGCTCTTGACTCACAGGGACTCTATGTACAACAGAAGGAAATTCTGCCAGATACTACACTGTTTTCATAATCTCTGCTGAGTTTGAACTCACGTTGCAGTCATTTTATTGAGAGTCTTACTTTTTTTCGCCTATTGTCCCTCTGCTTTTCCAAGTGTGATGTCCCCCAGAGCAGAGATTAGCTCCTCCTGACCACATGGTCAGAGTAGGAGAGATGATGTCCCACTCTCCTTTGTTCTAAGAAACACTCTAATTGTACTACTTCCATGACAGATTTGCTTGTTCTTTTGGCTGCATACAATATATTCAATAATCTTTGCCAACACTACAATTCTAAGACATCTATTTTAATATTCATTATTCATTGCTTAACTTTCAAATCAATTTTATTTGGATTCACAATAAACATCCATAGAAATAGCAGTCAAAAAATTGAAAGACTTAATGAATTGGAAAAATCTGTTGTCTAGGACTTTTTTAAAGTGCTAAAGAACAATGATATAACTGTAAAGCTTAAGGTGTACCTAAGACAGATGGCAGCGTTTTCGATTGCTTCATAAGCATGTGAAAGTTGGACAATAAACTTTGATCTCTAAATGTATTGAATATACTTACTCATTTTTTAGGGGAGTCTTCAGTATCATGAAGGCTTAATTTTGCCTCTTCAATATATCTTTTTGTCTCCACTGACTGAATCAGTGTTTGGCTTATCCATGTGACTACTTGACTTCATCAATGACAAATGAGAATAAATAAAACTCAAATCCAAGGTAGAATCTGCTCCTCCTTCTAGGCCTGTCCATTTCAGAAAATGGCTCCATTATTCACAGGATTATTTCCTGACCTACTCTTACAGTGTATAGTCTACTTATTAGCCAAGCTCTATCTACTTTACTGTAAAAATAGATCTCAATGCCATCCATTGGGAATGTGTATGTGATTTTGTCAAAATTTGATTTAATATCATGAGTTTTTAACAAAATAACAAATCAGAGAGAATTTTATAGCGAACACAAAAACATCTAGCAGATTCTAACATTAAGAATTTAGTATATTTACTTATTATATCAGGGGGCTCGGTTGGCCTAGTGGTAAGGAGCTATACTGCTAACCTGAAGCACAGAGTTCAAATCCATCTGCTTCTCCACAGAAGAAGGATGAGCACTCTCCTTCCATAAGATTTTACTGCCTCTTAAAACCCACAAAGAGTCAGCTACGAGTAGGTTCAAACTCGGTAGTATGCCACCATCACCAGCGCTACATGGCCAGAATATGTGAGCCAAAGCCTCACCATCCTTGTCTCTAATGAACACTCTGGCTGTATCTTCTCCTAGATAATTTGGTTTGCTCTTTTGTCAGTCCATGGAACATTCAGT